TACGGTGGCACTTTCTACGCCTTCCTCAATGCTGAGCAGCTGGGCCTCGATGTGTGCTCCTCAAAGACCAGAGACCTTGTCAATGCGGCGAGCACGGTGACAGAAGCGGTGAAGGAGCAGGTACGGAGGAGCACTGGTACCCCAGCATGTTCCCTTTGGGGTGACTGCACCAGACCAAGGCCCCTTATTCTCCTGAGACACTCAGGATGGGAGGGAGTCCCATCCTTCCAGCCCTGCTGAATTCCGGAGTCCTGCTCCAGCTTCCCAAGGCTGTGAGAAGGAAACTCGCTGCCCTGCTGCTACCTCAGACTGTCACTGGAGGAGCAGAGGTGGATGCTCAGCAGCGTGGCCTTGTCCCCTTCCTCTGGGCTCTGGTGGAAGCTGTGCTGCACATACTGGGGATTGCCCAGCTGCTGTGCCTGTCTGTGAACCTGTCTCTGCTGTTCCCAGTTCAAGCTTCATCACCCTGAAAGCGAAGACCTGGCTTTCCTCTACGGCACCATACTGACAGATGGGAAGGATGCCTTTAGTGAGGAGCCCACCACCAACATCTGTGTGTTTGCAGATGAACAGGTACAGAAACGGGCTCTTCTGCACCACCTTTTTCCCCTCTTACATCCCCTGCAGAGACAGGACAGTTGTGCACCTGCTCAGCTTGGGCAGTGATGATTGCCTCTGCTACAGGGATGTCTCTGAAGGCCAAGTGCCACTAAACACCTGGTTTAGTTCCTCATGACAGAAGTACTTGCACACATATTAGATGGTGGTGTTTTAAAATGGTCTGCACTCATGTCCCATAGGTAGGAATTTCCCAGGAGCTCAAGGGCCCAAGGCAGGATCCCATCACAGTACATGTTCTTAAAGTCCTAATCTAGTGAACAGTTGCTGGAGATGAACAGGGCAAGGGAGAAAAGAGGGGGAGAGAACTTCTCTCCTTGTCTGAAGGGGATAAGGTGACACATAAGTAGCAGGAGAAGGTTTGGTTTGGCTCCCCAGCAGCAGGAGCACTGGGACAGATCCCCTCGGGACCTGGCCAGCACTATGTTTTTGGAGGTTTTACAAACCAGGCTGCCCAGCAGATGTCTCAGTGAGCATAAGGAGAACTGATCCCCCTTTGATGCATGAGAATGAGGAAGGTGGCCTCTGCCCCCTCCATCCTTTTGATATGATGCTGGGGAGCTTCCAAGTTCTCCCTAAATGGCCTTGATATTTATTCGATCATCCCTACAAGTTGTTGTTCCTGCTTACTGAGCGGGGCTTGGACTAGATGATCTTTAAAAGTCCCTTCCAACTCAAAATGTTCTATAATTCTATAACTTTGCCAAAGCTGTTCACAGTCCAAAAGTACCCCAAAGCTACTTATTTTTTCTCTTTTGGGTGTATCCAGTTTCTATACAAAACCCTGGGCCAGAGAGGTTTCCTCCAAGTACAGTATAAAGGTGGCAGTGAGAACTGAGGGGGGCAATATTGTTTTTGATTAAACTCCAAAGCACTAGGGCTGGTTCACCTTCTCTCCTGAGTGTAGGTCGACCGCAGTCCGACAGGCTCGGGCGTGACGGCTCGCGTCGCCTTGCAGTACCACAAGGGACTCATCCAGCTCCATCAGACCAGAACCTTCCGGAGCAGCACCACAGGGTCCTTGTTCACCGGGAAGGCAGTGAAGGCAAGTGGCTCGTGCTGGACCTTCCCTCTGTCTCGAGGACTGCTGGAAAAGTGCTGTTGCCTTGGCTGGGTGGAGAAGCAGATGAGTGTGTGAAAGGAGGGAGGTGCCCGGGGGTGTTGCCTTCCCAAAGGCCTCCCGCATCAAGATTTTTTATTAGAGAAGCAGGTAACAGTAAGACCTTGTTCTGTTGCATGGCTCCCCTTCAAATCCTCTCTTGGCCTTCAGGAAAGGACTGAAGTGAGAACTGTCTCTGATGCTAATGTAGATAAATCGATCTGGTCAGTTCTCAGGGGAAGCCAAGGGCGGGTTTCTGGTTGAGTTCCCTCTTCCCTGCTCAGATGCTGAGCCTGGTGTTTGGAGATGTAGAAGCTGTGTTTGTGCATCGGGGGTTCCAGGCCCAGCCCTGGCCCCACGACATCTGGCAGCACATGGCTGTGAAGGTTTGGACATGCCTCAGGGAGCTCTCAGGTTTTGGGTGCAAGCGGCCACCAGCTTGTTGGCCTGCTTTGAGGGAAACCCACGCTGTGGCAGCACACGGGCTCACAGGCTGGGAGCAGGGGCAGCAGCACTTGTGCGGGTGTGGAGCTCACGCAGGCGAGGGGAGGTGGGGGAAGGGCTGCTGCACACTTTGGGGTGCACCTGGGCAGGGCAGAGCGCTGAGGGAGGAGTGGCTCTGCATCAGGGCCAGGTAGTGCTGCCATTTCATGGGGCTGGGAGAGCGGAGACCCTCCTGTCACCTCTGACCTGATCCTAATCCCTCTGCAGGAAGCCAAGTTTGGGGACTACAATGCTGTCATCGTGGAAGTCTCAGGAGAAGCCTTTTACACCGGTACGGCCACTTTCACTGTGGAAGAGGAGGACCCACTGAAACATGGTTTCTCCTTCAAGTGATCTGAGCTGCTAAGCAGTGGCAAAGTCTCGCTGATGGTGCTGCACTTCTGCCCATGGTGTTTCTGTTCTGTTTCTCCACGTGGCTCGCTGCAATATGCCAGAGCAACAGGAACAGCCTTCGGTGGTGTGACAGCATCTGCCGTGATTCAAGACCCCGGGCTGTGCTCCCCTGTTGTGATTAGCATGTAGGGGCTGCTCTGAGAAGTAATAACCTTTTTCTTCTGTTGGTTTTTTTTTTTTTTTTTTTTTTTCAATTATTATTCACAGAAAATAGAGCTGATCTTGGAGACCAGTCTTCAAATCTATGTGCCTTCTCTATATTTGCAAATTACTAATTTCAAAGCCAGATTCTTATTAAATGCCAGCTGAAAACACTGCCTTTCTCCTCTTGTTTTCACTCCTGGAGCTCATTTCCAGCACTCTGCTGAGCGCCGAGGTTTGAACTGACTGCTCTTCCTCCATGCCTTCTGCTTAGCCAGCTGTGCTGCTCTGTCTCATGCCCCAGTTTCCCTGGTCTGCCCTGCTCGGGCCTGTCCAGACACCCCATTTCTCACTGCACTTGCCTCACCCCTGCCAGAGCCCTCTGTCACTGGGCTGGATGCAAGTATTTGCTCAGAACTTCCTTGGGAGTTCCCACTGTGTGTCCACACCATGCTGCTTCCCTAAACCTTCCTCTCTTGCTTATTTTTGACCATTGGCTGCAGATACCCTGTGGTTAACTTTCAACAGGAGCTGCTGTATTCGAAGGTCTGAGCCACTATGACCTTTGATTGCTAATTATTTACTGACTGTTCTGTCTTGTGCAGCAGAGTCCAGTCAGTGCTTGCTTTGCCAGAGCCCCTCGAGGGATTATGGCTGGTGGAAAAACCAAACCAAGCTCTGGGCTGGCGGCAAGCATTGGCAGTGGCAGAAGCAGAGCTTCAGACCACTCATGGCCTGCAGTTTCTACTGTGTCTCTGGGCAAACTGGTGTTTGTTGAAGACACTCATGAAAGTGGGTCTCGTTAAAATGAGACGTGGAAATGAGAATGAGCATATCCCAGTAGGTCACACAGCAGAAGGGAACAAGTGATAACTGAAGGTTATCACTTGCCTAAGGTTGGTGTAGAAAAGTCTGAGAGGAATTTTTTCTGTCAGGTTGAAAACTGTAACTTTGGAACAGGAAGAAACAAAAATCCTCTCTTTCAGAGAAAGGCTGCGCTGCCAGCAGAGGTTTTTTAGGCTGGTGTCTGGGGGTCTTGCTTGCAGCTTTCCTGTAACCCTCAGATAGATCCCGTACAGCCTGTGGTCCAGGAGAGCAAGAAGTGACACTCACATCCTTTGTGCTTGCAGGAGCAAAGTCCTCCATGATGTTTATAGCTTCTGGGCATCTCCCTTGTGGTCAGCCCACCCTGGCTCCCCAGGAAGAGCTGGGACAGCAACTTGCCAAGCCCAGCACTGAAAGGCTGGACGCCAGCTATTGATTGTGTTGCAGCCTTCGTTAGCTATTCGCTGTCTTTATCCCTAATAATCTTTGTGGGGAGAGGGGTCGTGACGGGGAAAGGAGCGGAGAGGGTCCCTATGGGGAGAGGGCCCCGTGGGAACCCGTCCGCGACCCTGGGGTGAGGATGACGCCGGTGAGGGCTGTGTGGGGCGAGGGGTC